CCAAAGGCACAGTCAGTACAACACAGGACTTGAGCACAACACGGGACACAAAGCCACTCACAGACAGGGAGGAGGGAGGCTGGGGCCTCAAGAGCTGTGACTCATTAGAATCCATAAAGCTTTTCTATGGAGATCAAGTATCAATGAAACTATTGTAAGAGATTACAGCTATATAAATGCAGGCTAGTAATGAATTCTCACAGGGCAAGAGCACTTTCAAGACAGCAAAGGACACCAATGCCTGGGAAAGCACTCAACACGAACGCTACCTCAGTTGCCTCAGAGTGGCTGCCCACACCTACCATTTTGCTAAACGCGGGTAGTTCCTACAAAGGGGAGGAGAAGGGACCCCTGGGTTCGGCACTCCCTAAATCTATCTTGTGCCACTTTGCCAAGCTTTCTATCGTGACGGCTCCAGACTCAAGCCTAACATAGTTGCCGTCTGCGGTTACAGGTCCAAGAGCAAGCCAGATCATTTTTATTAGTCTTAAACGTTGTTTTCCAGAAATCATAAACCAAATAGAAAACAGACCTCTGTCACAAAAGACAAACAGCAGTAGAGCGTTTTGTTAAACAGATTAAAATTTGTACCTACCTTTACCACGTTCAATATTTCAGTATTAGAACTGTAATAAAAATATTCTCCTAGAATGTGTGAAATTTTAAAAAGAGCAATAAATGTGGCAAAATGCATAACCAAGTTGGGTTTTACATACAATTTTTTTAAATTTCCTGTGAATTATTATTCATACCAAGGTTACCACTGATTTCAGGTCAGAATCAAGTGTGTGGAAAGAACAAATGAAATAAAAGCAGAGTGAAAACGCTTCAGAATTTAGGAAGGATATTATTGCAAAGAAAATCATTCCAGCATTTCCCTCTCAAAGATTAGAAAACAGAATTCATTATTTGGCTCCCACTAAAATGGCCACTAAATACGAAGTCCACATTTTCACAAACATCTTTCTAGATTTTTACATTTTATTTGACATTGCAAAGGAAAATTTCACCAAATTTTAAACAATTTTATTCTCAAGGGTATTGTTTATCAAGTTCTGGCAGAAAAGAATAATTAAGTCAACCTTAAAGGGTGCTTTTGTTGGAAACCATTTGCACCTAGTGTTCCTCATGACTAACCGTAACAGAGGCCAACCTCAGCCTCGCCGGGACCACTTGCTTAGAAACAAACTATTGCACGTGAGAGATTGCCTGTTGATAATAAGAGCAAACCTGAGTTTTGTTGAATTTTCAGTGTTTTGAAAGCATGCCAGTGAATCCTTCTGACATCATCATGTACTTACTGACGACCAGAAATGAGCACTTTAAAATTTGTTCTCTGTATATTATCAGATATGTATAAAGTAGAAAGGGTGCTTCTCTAGAATATGAAAATTGGAATTTTCTTCTTCTAAAGAAACCATAATGCCATTCAGATATTCTCTTCATATATACAGTTCATAAATTATTATTCTCCCATTGGTCCTAATCCTTACAACACTGATAAAATTATCAAAGACATATTATTTTACATGTATTATATTTAAAAGAAGTTATATTAATCTTTGAATATAGTGGATAATTTGTATTTATCTTTGAATCAGTTAGATAAAAGCAGGAAAAAAAGTGTGTTCTTCCAAACCAATAGCCATTTAGTAAACTCTATGAACGTTTTCTTAAACGCACATTCTACAATTCAGTGTCACAATCACCATTGTTAACCCACCCCTTGCAGAGCAGCCTGATCGATTCATCCCAATCGTCCTTTGCCTAATTGTTTGTGTTCCCCTTGCCGTTCTGTTGCACAAATTACTCGAATTAAAAAAACAAAACAAAACTCAAAATAGTGAAAAGGGGAGACTATCAGAAAACAGGGAAAAAAATACCTGAGGACCAGAAGCAAAAGAGAGGTGAGCCTTGTAATTTAAAATGAAGAAAACAAAAAAAAATAGTATAAAGGAATTCCGTTGTGCCAGTGGAGAAGGGGCTAAAACATAAAGATAAGATAAAATGGAAATAAATGTCAAGAGAGGATAGGAGAAGCCGCATCCAAGAGAATGATGCATCTTCAGAGAGTTGAGAAAGGAAAGCCTGCAAGACAGCAGGGAGACAGCTGAGCTATCTGGTGGGTGGGTGGGAATGACAGGACACAGGCCAGGAGAGCCAGGAGAGCACCCTCAATCACCTTCCTGGGTGGTACCTCTCACTCCTCCAGTTTACTTTATTTCATTATTCGTTATTTTAACCCACAGCTAAGCACAGGATAAGTTTGTTTTGCTTCTGAGTTCACTGAAAAACCCAACTAGTGTTTTAAGTTACACCAGGCTATGCCTTCCACTTAGCACTTGCGAGGTTTTAAGGGAGAGGAAATAATTATTCCTGTAAGATTACATTCTTTAATGTAAAACTCCTCGCCCAAGGACCATTTCCAGACCCTGGCCTTACACCACTCCTGTTTTCCTTCCTCAGGCGGGTCAGAAGACTGCTTTCCACGAGTCAGTAAAAATCAGAGGGAAAACGTTACGGCCTTAGGGTACTTAAATACAGACTAGTTATCCCCTAAATTCACTCCTCTGGGCTGAACCCTGCCTGAGGCCTGAAAAGAGACTTGGGGGGTGGAAGAAAGGGCAGCATGAAGGTGAGAGAAGGGCAAAGACAGCTAAGCAGGCAAATGGAAACAATGCCTAGATTTAAAAGGTACAACCTACTAGAAACGTCTAGAACTCATTTTCTTATTTCAGTTACAGAAAATGAATAGGAGCAGAAAACACCACATTTTTATTTTAATGTTGTAGAAAAACAGTGGATGCATGAAAAAGGAGAAACTTAATTTGCTCCTACTTGTGGCATGACAGACGTTTTTAAAAACTTACTAAGCTCAGCAGTAAGCTAACTACCTGGATTCCGAGGAATAACATGTTCAAGTCTCAGCAGAAGGTTAACCAATGACCTGGGTCTGAAGACTAGTTATCACAGGACTGGATCTGTGTTTTGGAATAGACACTCAGGCAATCAGGGGACACACTCGGCTACCAGCTGCAGGACGGCTTCGGTGCCTTTCAGAACTTGTTCCAATGCCCTTGGCCGCTGATTACACATTCCTTCTCCTTGCCCTTGAAAATATCGCCTGCTTTGCCTCAGAGAGCTCCAAACCCTCTCCCAGTAATGGCAGAGGCCAAACAGCGGGCCATGTGCAGAACCAGAAGGAAAGACTGGAGACATTGATCATTAATACTCTCTGACACAATTCTGAAATTTCCCATCTTCCCGCTCTCTGCACCTCCACCCTCAAAGCTAGTCAGCTTTAAGCTTCATTCCTTGAAAGGAAGTTCGGCACGTTGGTCTCAACCCATTTCATTTTCATGTCCTCTTTAAAAAACTGCTGCCCACAATTTCTAAGAAAAGTCAAGGCCCTAACACAATAGCCTCTCTCAAGGAGAAATAGCACAGCCAGCAACTCCAGTTTTCTTGGAAGGCAAAATCCTCAGTCCCGACCCTTCTCATTCACAGAAGGCAGTGGTCAGGTCATGGGTGTCACAGATATGGTCACTTTCAATCCAGATTCTGGTAGTGATGGAACCTGGTAACCCACAAAGATAACGCCTTCCCCTTCTTTTATGCATGATACACTGTGCACTTGGGCAATCTTACTTTTGGTTTAAAAAATAATCCCTAGGAAATATTTTTTTTCTTAAATACTAAGCAAGCCATAATTCTTTTCCCTTCTTTGGACATTCTGTGATCTCATCCATCACCTCACCAACGTTTTTAAAAACATCTAGACCTTGAAAGTTAAACAAACACAACCTACCACAGCATGCCGAGGTCTGGTCAGAAAACTCAAGCCGGTTCAAAATGATAACTTTTTCTATTACTATTTAACTTAAGTGACGTATATGACTCTTTGTTTAAAAAGGAAAGGGCTTTTCACACACTGACTGTCGCCCTACAGATGACTGTACTCCCAGGTCAGTTCTTTTTCCAATTCTCTTAGAAGCTGCCCTTGGTATCCTTAAATGCACTCTGAAACTTTGGTATCACCTTCATTATGATGTGCTTTGTGCACATTCTCCGACGCTGCAATGCCCATACTCAGGCAACACATCACAGAAGTTGGCAGCAATGCTATCAGTAAGAATTTGGCTTCAGAATCAGAAGTGATTCATCATACATTCTCGAAGCAGAAAAACAACACACGGCTATTTTAATCCCTTGGTGCTTTCAAGAATCGAAAAACAGTAAAATAATTAAGCAAAAGCAACAAAAATCTTACTCTGCTGTAACCCTTGTGGAAATATTATTCACTTTTGAGAGTTTTCAACGAAATCACTTAGAAAACAACAGACTACTTACCTTGTTTCATAATATTCATTACAATGACAAATCAAAATTTAACTTAACACAATTTCAGGAGAAAACAGGTAGTCCAAACTTCTGCAAAGTAGCATATGGAAATTCTAAATTTAGAAGAACACATTTCTCATTTGCTTCGGTAAATAAAATCCCTCCTACGGTTTCAAAAGTAATACACTTCTTTCACCTCCTCTCTCCATTTTTGAGATTGCTCTAATTTAAGGTCTAAATGAATGAGTGTGTTGTCTCTGTCACAACCAGAGAAACCTGATATTGTGGGTGACTGATTCAGAACACCCCCCCCGCCTTTAGAGGTACCTATAATAATAATAATATAATGTAACGTCCTAATAAATAGTACAGGTCTAATGCAATAATGGAACTCACTTAACGTCTTAATGCTCTATTTAATGAGCATGAAAGAAATTTCCATCCTGGTCATTCTTACTTCATGAGAACACAATACGTTGATAATCAGGAGTACTAACGAGTATTTTCTATATAACTATCCACGCACACCTACGGTTTCCTGTAAATTTAATTAAAACTTTTTTTTTTAAATGCTACTCTATTGTGTGACCAAGTACTCAGGGGCAGACGGAGAGATTGATCAAGAGCTCCACACAGTGCTCTCTTTCGGGGATCCCTACCTCTTCAAACACTTCTTCGGTCTCCCTTCGTTTCCGCTTTCGGGGTCTCCGGTTCACTCGAACCCATTTCGCGACCTGAAGTTCAAAAACCACAGGGCATTTCAAACAGGACGACGGGTCCTGAGGGCCGCCCCCCGCGTGAGAAAGACACGACGGACGGCCTCGCGACGCAGCCCTCCTCGGCTTCACCTGGGGAAGCCTCGGGCCCCTTTCGCGGCGCGGGGGCCGCACGG